TGGATACTATACATGTATAATGATTTAACGTTATTTATTTAATACTGGTTAATTAAATTACTATATTCTAATAATTACGTGACTTAGTAATATAATTTGTTTCTTGGATTCGAAATAAGTGCCCTTAAAAACCATTAATACGTTCTGCAACTCTATTGTATATGTTCATTGTAATAACTTATTTATTTATCAAATAATTCATTTTTAACTGTAAACATTAGCATTATTTTATTAAAAAAATAGCTTGGAATAAAAAAAAAATCGGTTGGTATTTTATGCACCAAATGAATAAAATACTAACATTCAATGCGTAATAACGCACCTTCTCCGATTTTATCCACATAACCATATTTATGCTACTCAAGTATTTTTTTTTCAATTTGTTACTAGGAAAATACATTTATCATTTGTAAGGTCAATTAAACAATTTAATAATTAAAAACTGTGTTTTTAGTAGCATACTTAATGTAGACAATAAGATTAACTGTAATCGTAACACCTCGATAGCCCTGCGATTAGAGAGCTTGGCCATGGTTCCTAAAGTCGTGTGTTCATATCCCGGTAACTCCATTTTTTTTTTTTCTCGTTAGGAAAAAGAGACTTCCAATAAGCGACTTTCGTTTCATAGAAATCTGCCGTTTTTTAAATTCCAGCGCCTCCCCTCCCCCAGCATATGACATAAAGATCTTTGTTCTAAAAGTTATTAACAAGAAACCAAAAATTCAAGGCCATATTTTCTGAAATTTTCAACTTAGACAAAAAAACTTAGTGCAATTGATTACGCTTATTTTTACATGAATTTAAATAAAAAACTTCTGCTGTAGGACCAACAGAAGCCGAGATATAATACGTTCAACACACATACCGGCCGTTATATTTGATTTTTAGAATTTAGACCGGTACGATTTTTTTGCTGCAGGTTTATTGTACTACACAACATTTTTTTACATCGATTTGGTCAATCTTTTTGCATGTAACAACTGATTAAAATAGTGAAAAATGGCGCTGAGACCGCAGTACTGGAGTAGCTGCAGCCAGCGATGCGCCACGCATTCGCAGTAGCTCGAACAGTGCTTTAGCAGAGCCTTTCTACGTTGTGCCTGAGTGCAGCAAAATCCATTCGTATTTTTTTTTTCTCAGCTTTATGATGCTGCTATTTATTTTTATGTATATTCTGTAAAACTTATCGTCAATAGCTTTTTTTTCAACATGTTTTCTGTGCCCCCGAAATAACGTGCATACTTCGATACAGGAACGGTGGAATATGTATATATATGGATCATACACAAAAAATAGTAATAACTAAATATTGTGACTTATTTATTTTGATACAAAATAGTACAAACAGTATTAGTATATGCAACTCAAATATATCGAAATATGCAGTATGCAGAAGTACTGAAAGTATTGTATCTTAGCTTCTGTTGGTCTTATGACAACTTTTTTTGTAATTATAAATATAAGCGTAAGCACTTGCACTAAATTGTTTTTGTCTAAGCAGAAAATTACAGAAAATACGGCCTGGTATTTTTGGTTTTTTGTTAGTACCTTTTTTATTTGTTTATTTAAAAAATTCAATTTCTGTGGTAGTAAAGATAATGTTATTCCTTACTGATTCTAAAAAATTAGATATCGATGGCATGTCCATGATACATTTTATACACAATCAAAATTTTTAACTAACAATTTTACAATAGGCCGCCATTTTCAAATTTTGCAATCAGACTTGGCGTACAAAAAAAACCATTCTAATGTCTATTAAATATTCGATTTTCATTCAATTTTGAATATTGCATTTTAATTTTTTTGCGTTTTTCAGCTTTCTTGCTTGTTTAATCAATAGAAAAAATTTCCTAATTCTTTTAAACACTAAACCCCTATGTAAAATCATCAGATAAACAATTTTTGTGTCTAACATTTTGCTCCAAAACTGAAATTTTCCGATATGCTTGATAAAAACTAGAAAAAAGGCATTTTTCAAGTTCTAATGAATACTTTTTTTAACAAATTTTTTTATTTCTATTCAAGTACATAACTAACCAATATTATAACTCACTAATTTAAATTATTTTCAACTTTATAGTCTTGAATATCGACTTTTAAACTTTTCCGCTTAAAAAACCACATAATTTTTCTCAACTAATAACATTACGAATTTTTGGATCAAAAAATACATTTGAAATTAGCTCTTTTTCATGACAATGACCAGTCAAATTCAGGCCTGTAGTCAGTAGCCAATGCTATTGAGGCTTTACTTTAAAATCATCAAACTTTTAGGATAGGATATATTGTTATTTATTATTATTATTTTTTTTTTTTCCAACACCTAATTTGCGTTTAACGGATATTTACAAATTGATTCAATTCCATGCTCAAAGAGAAGAGAATAATTTCTTAGATATACGTGTTGTTCGGGAATCAAATAGTTGTCAATATAGAGGAAACTTTGTTAATAGACGAAAAATCACATATATCAAGATAACATGATATAAATTTGTTTGCTGATGTTAAGATCAAAATTATAGTGCTAAAGTAAAGGTGTCTGTCTGTCTGCATTCAAAGAGAAATGGAAGTATGAGACTTCAAACTTGCAGTACTCTCATCTTACGATTAACTATTGAACTGTATTACTATCACATTTGACAGTATCAATAATTGTAGTGGCACTTCGCTGCTAAGATAGAAGTTTGGTACGAGTAACTTAGAGTGCCAAGTGCTCAAATAATATTAAACACTATGAGCTCCAAGGTGGGCTCTCAGCTCCTAATATCGAGTTTATTAGAAAGTTCAACTACTTTGCAAGCCATGCAGTTCAGTATTTTGACTATATACAGTAGTTCCATGTTGGACTTAATAGTTATTTTGAACTTAATAAATAAAACTTCTCAAGTAATGTAAATATTTCATTGTGTAATGAAAATATTCGTTTTTAGGAATAGGTTATAAGGTATATTATAATTATTTTATTCTTATTAGTTTTGTATATGTATGCCCAATTACCCCAAATTTTTTTTCAAATAGAATGCATACACATTTTTTTAACTTTAACTTTCAAAAGCTTAGAGAATGTATACATGGAGGAAGCATTGTATGCTCCTGCCGCGAGACGAGATGAGAGAGACAAAAGATAAATATCAGTACAACCTTTCTCTCTCTTACACGCCTCTGATTGGTTGGCCCCCTTCCGTATATATAGGTATAGGCGTGTCCACGAGTGGCGGTCGTGGGGGAACAGAGCAGATATATGTAACCTTAACTCTGATGAAATAGAACTTATATATTTACAGAGAGTATAGAATATATCCTCTTTAAGTATAGAAGGCTAAAGCGGAATTCCGAGCAATACACACTAAAACAATAATCTTCCATTAGAAAATAATTAAAACAACAAAATTTCAATAAAAATTTCTAATTTTAATTAAAGCTCTCATACCTGGTTAAACACTTCATGTATGGCTAATGACTCAGAATGTTTGTCTTCGATAGCTGAGCGGTCAAGAATGCTCGATCAGCTTTTGCGCTCTGGGCTTGGAATCTGACCTATGCTATGGCTAATGACTCAGTTAGAATGTTTGTCTTCGATAGCTGAGCGGTCAAGAATGCTCGATTAGCTTTTGCGCTCTGGGCTTGGAATCTGACCTATGCTTTTTTTTTTTTTTTTTCAGGTATACATTTTCATAATACTTGTTTTATTACGTTTCGTTTGTTTATAATTTTTATATATTTTCATAAATAAATTTATTTTATAAGATTTCACACTTTAATAATAAGATTTAAAAAACTACTCTTGGCTAATGCCAGTAAAATACTAATGCGAGCATAAATTCAATATTATACTATTACAATACGTCGTATAATTCATTTTTTATTGGCATTACTCAATGGAAACCGACGGGAAGGTGGCAGTATTTTTCATTAGGATAGGATACATGCAGGATAAAGGGCATATTAGATATTAGAACCCCAATAAATCCGTATCGATCAATGCAGTAAATAATTAAAAAAATAATATTTACACTTGTAATAATAATAATATACAAAAAGTATTTACACATTTTTGCATTAGTATTTTA